TTGATTTAGATGATGGATTCGACTAATCAAAATAAGTTACATATAATGGTGAATATAAAAATGGTAAAAAAGTTGGTAGGTGGAATATAAATTGGAGTAAAGGATAATAAATGTAATAAAGATTATATAAAGTTTAATATGTTTAGTGGTGGTGGATTTTATGATGAAGGAGGTGATGAAATTAAGTAAGGGTAGTGGATTGAAATGATTGATGATTTTAAATTTGATTTATAAGTGACTAGTGATGGCGAATACAAAAATGGGTAGAAGGTAGGCTTATGGAAAATAAGTAAAAGAGAAAATAACATATTGAAATTACAGTATTTAATAATTCTATTTTAATAGCGGTTGTATTAATTATGATCTGAATGGCTAAGAGATTTTTAGAAGCGGAGAGTATTTCTTGTTCTTTTATAACTTAGAAATTCAAAGTTTATTCATATGGGTGAATTTAATAATGGTAAAAAGGTAGGACCCTGGTAGATTTGGTTTAAGGAGAATGAAACATACAAATAGATGTAATAATGTGAATATTAAGTGTAATTAGAGGCGGAGGGTCATATGATTAAGAAGGCCAAGAAATAAAGATTGGCGAATGGATTGATTTAAATTAAGAATTTGATTAGAGGCATCAAATTACTTATAATGGAGAATACAAGAATGGGTAAAAGGTAGGCTTATGGAAAATAAGTAAAAGAGAAAATAACATATTGAAATTACAGTATTTAATAATTCTATTTTAATAGCGGTTGTATTAATTATGATCTGAATGGCTAAGAGATTTTTAGAAGCGGAGAGTATTTCTTGTTCTTTTATAACTTAGAAATTCAAAGTTTATTCATATGGGTGAATTTAATAATGGTAAAAAGGTAGGACCCTGGTAGATTTGGTTCAAAGAGAATGAAACATACAACTAGATGTAATAATATGAATATTCAATATAATTAGAGGTGGAGGGTCATACGATTAAGAAGGCTAAGAAATAAAGATTGGTAAATGGATTGTTTTGGGAGATCACTTTGAAAAATAGAAATAAGTAACCTTTGTAGGTGAATACAATTATGGCTAAAAAGTTGGAAGATGGGATATTTGGTTTAAATAATATGGGTGGGATAAAGAAAATAATTAAATGTAATAGTTAAATAAGCAAATTATTATAGTGGTGGTGGGTCATATGATAATGGAGGCAATGGAGTTAAAGTTGGTATATGGAAAGAATTGGATGATAAGTAGCAAGAAATAACTTATATGGGTGAATATAAAAATGGGAAAAAAGTAGGTAGATGGGATAGCAGCCTTCTCAATGAAGTGATGTATAAATTAAATAATTGTAACATTTCTTAGCGGAGGCGGATCATATGATGAGGATGGCAATAACAATAAAATTGGGTAGTGGACTGAAATTAGTGGTGACTTTTTATTTCCCTTTTAAATTACTTATAATGGGGAATACAAAAATGGGAAAAAAGTTGGAAAATGGGATATTTGGTTTAAAGATTGTAAAGGAAATAATAAAATGTAAAAATATCATTTAATCTTTTAGTGGTGGAGGATCATATGATGATGAAGGGAATGGCATAAAGGTTGGAGACTGGATCGATATAAATTAAGAATTTGATTAGATGCATCAAATTACTTATAATGGCGAATACAAAAATGGGTAAAAGGTAGGCTTATGGAAAATAAGTAAAAGAGAAAATAACATATTGAAATTACAGTATTTAATAATTCTATTTTAATAGCGGTTGTACTTATTATGATCTGATTGGCTAAGAGATTTTTAGAAGTGGAGAGTATTTCTTGTTCTTAAATATTTTAGATATTAAACTTTTATTCATATGGGTGAATTTAATAATGGCAAAAAGGTAGGACCCTGGAAGATTTGGTTCAAAGAGAATGAAACATACAACTAGATGTAATAATGTGAATTTTCAATGTAATTAGAGGTGGAGGGTCATACGATTAAGAAGGTCAAGAAATAAAGATTGGTAAATGGATTGTTTTAGGAGATCGCTTTGAAAAATCGAAATAAGTAACCTTCGTTGGTGAATATCAAAATGGAAAAAAAGTTGGAAGATGGGATATTTGGTTTAATGATTGTAAAGAAAATAATAAAATGTAAAAATATCATTTATTCTTGTAGTGGTGGAGGATCATATGATGATGATGGGAATGGCATAAAGATTGGTGAATGGATTGATTTAAATTAATAATTTGATTAGAGGCATCAAATTACTTATAATGGAGAATACAAAAATGGGTAGAAGGTAGGCTTATGGAAAATAAGTAAAAGAGAAAATAACATATTGAAATTACAGTATTTAATAATTCTATTTTAATAGCGGTTGTATTTATTATGATCTGAATGGCTAAGAGATTTTTAGAAGCGGAGAGTATTTCTTGTTTTTTTATAACTTAGAAATTCAAAGTTTATTCATATGGGTGAATTTAATAATGGTAAAAAGGTAGGACCCTGGTAGATTTGGTTCAAAGAGAATGAAACATACAAATAGATGTAATAATATGAATATTCAATATAATTAGAGGTGGAGGGTCATACGATTAAGAAGGTCAAGAAATAAAGATTGGTAAATGGATTGTTTTAGGAGATCACTTTGAAAAATAGAAATAAGTAACCTTTGTAGGTGAATACAATTATGGCTAAAAAGTTGGAAGATGGGATATTTGGTTTAAATAATATGGGGAGGATAAAGAAAATAATTAAATGTAATAGTAAAATCAGCAAATTATTATAGTGGTGGTGGGTAATATGATAATGGAGGCAATGGAGTTAAAGTTGGTATGTGGAAAGAATTGGATAATAAGTAACAAGAAATAACTTATATTGGTGAATATAAAAATGGGAAAAAAGTAGGTAGATGGGATAGCTGCCTTCTCAATGAAGTGATGTATAAATTAAATAATTGTAACATTTCTTAGCGGAGGCGGATCATATGATGAGGATGGCAATAACAATAAAATTGGGTAGTGGACTGAA